ACTAGTTAAGACTAACCCGCATCCAACGCATACATAACATATAGACATTGTAATCTCTCTCGCTGGTCGCTAACAACGAGAGATCGTTTCTTGTGTACGAGCCACTCACGTATATTGACAGCTCGTTGCACAAGTCCAACGAATCGACAACCTACTCCATACGGCTTATCCGCACAAAGTACCTGCGACGCCACGCAGTTTCTTTTCTTTTCTTTTCTTATTATTTTTATTTTTCAATACTCATCCATCCAGCAAAAACAAATACTTGTTCGTCATTTCATCCATATATGCATAGAGTCTGCTTTTTTTTAATCCATAAAGAAATCATTTTCATTGTTATAGAGAAATCCGCTAGTAGGAACAACAAAATTTTCATCTTTGTGTCCAAATTTATTTTTTTTAATTGCACAGGGCTCGGATCGACTTTAAGATCTAAAAAAAGTCGTTTCAAACAAGACTTTATTTTATTCATATATCAATGTACTTTACGTGAAACTAAAAGATACATTTAGATACTACTAAAAATAAACGGTTTTTGGCAGACAGTTAAATAGTCAAACAAAATAAAAAATGCAAACAAGTATTTTTAGTAGTATTTTCAGTGCGACGTAAAGTTTTACGTTTCGAATTAAAATAACAAAACACAAAAATGGTTTTATTTACAGTAGTAAAAGTATTTTGCAGTCAGACATAACACTATGTGTTACTAATTAAAAAAGTCAAACCAAGAAACGTTTCTTTTAGTAGTTAAAAATATTTTCTAGTCAGACATCAGTTTTAAAAATCAATAAAGAAAATTGTTTCATTTTAAGTAGTAAAAGTATATTTAATGCCAAAAAATTAGTCGACGAAAAATTAAATTATAACTTAGCTGTTTTATATACAACTTTAAGTCTGAATAAAAAAAAACTTTATTATTGAAAATTAAATAATTTCTCTTTGTTTTTTTGTAATTATTAACATAGAATTCGGCGTCTGACTAAAAAATACGTTTACTACTAAACCCAATTTCTCTTTGTTTTTTTTAATCATTAACATAGAATTTCGCGTCTGACTAAAAAATACGTTTACCACTGAAAATTAAACAATTTTTGTTTGTTTTTTGTTTTTATTTTGCGTCTGACTAAATACTACATTTACTACTGAAAAAGAAATAACATTTTTAATGATTATTTTTAATTATTAATGTAGAAGATTACGGCTGACTAAAAAATTAGTTTACTACTGAAAAAACATTTTTAGTTTCACTTTTTTACTTCTAATAAAAAAAACTTTGAATCTGATTAAAAATACTTTTAGGTACTACTACAATTAAAACACTTTTTTTCACTTGTTTAATAAGAACTTAAAGTCTGATAAAAAATAACTTTTACTACTAAAAATAAAACAATTTTTCTACTATTTTAATTAATCATATATAACTTTAACTCTGGGTAGAAAATAATGTTACTACTAAAAAAATTTTTTTTACTTTTTTGAATACAACGTTAAACTTTTCGTTTGAATAAAACATATTTTTTTTCTGAAAATATTTTTTGTCATTTTATGTTTTTTGCTTGACATTTTTTGGTTGACTGTATTACTGACACGCATCAAATAATTTTTATTTAAATCAATTAAATGGTTCAATTCATATTTGCTTCAAATACTAAAAGAATTGGTTCAATTACTATTTAATTGATTTATTAAATAAAAATTTTTTGACTCAAGTAAATATTTATTCCATAATAGACAAGTAATTGGTTACTTGAATCAAATAAATTTTTTCAAGTGTACTTTCTGATTTTTTTTTTCTTTTTTTTTCATAAAAAATGTTTATTTCTAGTAGTAAAAGAATATTTTACCGAATCGTAAATTTTTATATTATTTATTAACGAGGTCAATAAAAAAAAATTTTATTCTTAGTAGTAACAGTATTTTTTAGTCAGCCATAAAGCTCTACCTTTATATTAAAAACCTATTTAATTGTTAACATAGAATTGTACGTCTGATTAAAAAATACGTTTACTACAGAAAATAAAACAATTTCTCTTTGTCTTTATTAATTATTAACATATAATTTCGCGTCTGACTAAAAAATACCTTTACCACTGAAAATTAAACAATTTTTTGTCATTTTTACTTCTTAATTGTAGAATTTTGTGTCTGACTAAATACTACTTTTACTACTGAAAATACATTATCAAATAAATACATTATATACTTCTTTAATTAATAATACAGAACTAAGCGTCTGACTAAAAAAAGGCTTTTACTACTGAAAATAGAACAAATTTGTTTGTCTAATTGTTTTAATTCCTAATACAGAACTTTAGGTTTAATAAAAAATTACTTTTAATACTGAAAACATTATATTTGCAGTAGTAAAAGATTTTTTAGTCAATATTCATTTTTTAATTGAATCTTTCAATAAAAGGACATAAAACTATAGTTTTGTTACTTATTAAATGATTAAATTAAAAAATTTTTACTCTTAGTAGTAAAAGTATTTTCTAGTCAGACTCAATGTTTTCCCTTATTATTAAAAATTTTTTTGTGTTACTTTAGTAACACATAATTCTACGTCTGTCTATCAAATACTTCTACTACTGTAAATAAAAGAAATGTTCTTTGACTTCTATAAAAATATTAACATAATTTTACGTCTGAGTAAAAATCTCTTTTACTACTAAAAATAAACTAATTTTTTTAACTCCTCTAAGAAATAATGGTTAACATGTTATTTTTAAATTCTTTATTATGTAAAGAAAACTTTTACTTTTTTTTTTATTTTAAAAAAATAAATATCAAATATCCTGGAAAATACACAGAGAAAGCAAGATTTGATTTAAAATTTTTTACGCCCCAATTTGAATTCGTTATTCACAATAGAGAAAACCCATGCGCTAAAGCTAATTAACACTGAGTTGAGATCCATTGCTGAACGATAGTGACCACGCGTCTCTCGATCTTATATATATAAACTGTCGTACCGTTAAGTTTATACACGTTTTGCGTTGCTGAGATTTCCTCCGAGTCTCGAACCCTTGCGCCTTTACATTCAAGAGATCCAAGACTTTCTCCGCGATTAGCACGAGTTGAGATGAAATTAATTTTGCCGAGCCTATGAGCAATTCGACAGGAAATTTGCGATAATGAAGGAACGTGAACTCGATTAATGAAATTTATTCCTTTAATTTTGTGACTAATCGAATGCAGCAATCTTTGTCTCTAATTGCCAACCAAGGGAGATATATTGCTTAAAATAATGAATATATCACTTTTCAAGGAAAGTAGAAACCAAGAGTTGATGGTTTTTATTTTGAAGAAGAAAAAAATTTATAGCTGAAGTTATTTTACGCATTCTTTATACAACTGTGTAGGAAAAATATTAAAAAAAAACAGTTCAATAGTTTTAATGTAATAAAAAATTTTATTGAATTAAAACAATTGAACTGTTTAATTTGAAAAAGTAAAGAATGTTTTATTTTCAGTAGTAATAGTATTTTTTAGTCAGACGTAGAATTCTGTGTTAATAATTTAAAAAGTTGTTAAAGAGAATTTAGAATTTGGCGTCTGACCAAATTATACTTTTACTACTGAAAACAATAATTTTTTTGTCTAACTTTTTTAATTAACCAAATTGATCTTATTGTCTGACAAAAAAATGCTGTTACTACTGACAAACATATTTTTAGTCAGACATTAAATTCTGCGTTATCAATTTTAAAAAATCAAAGTTAAAAATGTTTTCTTAAGTAGTAGAAATATTTTTTAGTCAGACATTAAATTCTGCGTTATCAATTATAAAAAATCAAAGTTAAAAATGTCGTTTCTAGTAGAAAACATATTTTTTAGTCAGACATGAATTTTTTCGTTAGAAATTTAATAAAAATCAAGTAAAAAAAAATGTTGTTTCAAGTAGAAAAAATAATTTTTAGTCAGACCTCGAGTTTTTTAAACTGTGAGTTAAAAAAATTCACTATCATTGCAGAACTCGAAACAATTGTTCGTTTTTGAAAAATCATTTTGCCAATATATGATTTCATTTTCCATTACTCATCAACGGCAAGTCACTCTACTTGCTGTGCCATGTCAGTTTACTGATTACAAAAGTAATATTCAGAGAGATGAAAAATAATTCATAATAAATCGTTGCGCGTCTAAATAAATCAAATTCCGCTTCGTTTTAAAAAAATCCAGCGCGCAGAATAGTTGTATAAGATAACAAGAAAGTTTTTGCGATTGATGGGGCATCGTTATCCTGTAGTTGTGAGTTAATAACAAAGCAGATGTACGCGAAGCGTGAACTAAAAAGACATGGATGGAAGGCATTCAATAACCAGACAGTGATCAGCCCAGTGAGACAGGACGTCGGGGAGATTTTAATTTTTAAATGAACGCAAAAGAAATGTTCTAATGACCTCTTCTCATTTTAGGTTCAAAACAATACTTAAATGCAAGCTGTCTACTTGTATTCTCACTTGCTTTGCTTCTTTCACCGAAAGATGGTTGTTTATATTTTTTTATCTTCTGGATATCCAATGTCTGACTAAAAAATACTTCGACTACTAAAAATAAAACAATTGTTTTTAATTTTATAATTAACAATACAAGACTTAACGTTTAAAAAATAATATTACTACAAAGAAACTAAATATAAAACATAACATGTTACGTCTGACGAAAAAATACTTTCACTACTAAAAAAAATAATTTTTTTCATTGACTTCTTGGTCATTAGTAGTAAAAGTATTTTTCAGTCAGACATAATTTATTTCGAATAAAAATAACCAAATAGAAAAATTGTTTTATTTTAAGTAGTAAAAGTATTGTTTAGTCGGACATTAATTTCGAGTTTTTTTTAATTTAAAAAATGTATTTTCATTTCGCGTAAGTTGATTAAAAGAGTTCAATATCAAAAAATTGACAAATGTGCGGAATAAATAAGAAAAGCGGATTAAAGCAGATTTTCGGAAAATTGCAAATAAATGGAATAATAAAATGAAAATAGTAAATACCTGAGCGTATTCGGCGCAGATGTCTATTGATGAGACGTAATTGACGACGTCTTCGATAGTCCAACGATTAACGGCTTGACCATCGCCGCAGGGCATGTGACCGCACAAAGAGGGACATCTCACCGGTGGTGGACTACTTGGTCCAGGGGTTGTTTTCGGTTTGGGAGAAACACTGCCAGATCTTCTCGATTCTGCTCTCTGTCGTTTTCGAGGTGCGAAACCCCCAGGACTAGACAAATCCAAGGGACTCGAAACTCCGGCGTCCCTTTTATTTGCACCTAATGTCAAAGCACAAGGAAAAAAAAGAAGAAAAATAAACAATTCAGTTTTGAATTCGGAAATAATTTTCTAAAAATTGTAAGTTTTTTCTTCGTTTTTTGTCCCAATTTAATATTCTTTGAAAAACTGTGTACTTTTTAAAAATCAGGCTTCGCACTCAATAATTAATTTTAAAACAGAAACAAAAAGTAGCTTTAATATTGAAAAAAGTAGTAGAAAAGTAGCTATCGAAAATTAATTTTAACGAAGAAAAAAAATTATTTTAGTCAATTCACAAAAATTTGATTTAGTATTTCCCTGACTCTTTCCTGATTTCAATCAAAAATATTTATTTTTATTCTAATCCTGCTCTAAATTTTTGAAAAATTCAATTATTTTCTAAATTTTTTACCCTGAAAATACAATTGTATTTAAAAGTAATTTTTAAAGGGAAACAAATAAAATTATTTAATAAAATTTAATTTAAATTCTTTACGGGAATTAAGAAAATAAATTCATAATTTTTCAAAATAAAATTTGAATGTTATTACAGTTTTACAACAATTAGAATTTTCAACGATTTCGATTTAATAATCTTTGGAAATTTAGTTACTTCTAAAAAATAGTACTATAAGGATTTTATTATTCAATTATTATCTAAAATTTCAACCGAAATTCGTTTTTAAATCAATTCTTCTTAGAAAGTTCAAGTGAAATTCAACTATTTAAATAAGAAAATTAATAATATATTGAATACTTGAATGTTTCTCAAAATTTAATTCTTATAAAGAATTAATCAATTTTTTAAAAAAATAATTCAATTTCTAAGAAGAATTTTATTATTTACGGATATAATTGACTTTTTGCGCAAAATTTTATTTAATTTCATTTTAAATAATTGAATTCTAGTTAAAATTTTTATTATTTGGGAAAATAATTGAATAATTGTGAAGAATTACAGAAAAAATTATCAATATTTTTAAAAATAATTGAATTTATTACTAACAAGAATTTTATTATTTATGAAAATAATTTAATCCTTACGAAGAATTTCATTTAATTATTTTTTAAATAATTGAATTCTCGTGAAAAATTTTATTATTTGGGAAAATAATTCAATAATTGGAAAGAATTAAAGAAATAATCCAAGAAGTTATCAATTTTTAAAAAAATAATTGAAATTTCTGAGAAGAATTTTATTATATTTATCAAAATAGTTGAATCTTTGCGAATAATATTATAAAAATTTTCTTTAAAAAATAGGATTTCTGTTAAAAATATTACTGTTTATGAAAATAATGGAATTTTTGCAAATAATTTATTAAAATTGTTGAAAATAAATTAATTTCGGTAAAATGTGTAATTATTTGTGAAAATAATTTAATTTTTGCGAAGAATTTTATAAAAATTTTATTTTAAAATTTGAATTTTTTTAAAAATATTACTGTTTATGGAAATAATTGAATTCCAGTGAATTCCAGTAAAATACTTTATTATCTATGAAGATAATTGAATTCTTGAAAAGAAATTTTTAAAAATTTAGTTTAGAGAATTGTAAAATAAATTTACAATTTGTAAATAATTAAATTCTTGTAAAATTTTTATTAAAATTCTTTTTAAATAATTGAATTTTTTGGAAAACCTTATTAAAATAGTAGATATTAAAAATCATTGAATTCAGGAAAATTTTTTAAAATAATTGATATTTTGCGAAGAATTTTATTGAATTCTTTTTAAATAATTAAATTCACGTGAAAAATTTTATTATTTGGGTAAATAATTGAATAATTGTGAAGAATTAAAGAAAGAATTATCAATTTTTTTAAAAATAATTGAATTATTCTAAGACGAGTTTTATTATTCATAAAAATTTTTGGATTCTTGAGAAGAATTTTACTGAATTCTTTTTAAATAATTGAATTCTCGTGGAAAATTTTATTATTTGGGAAAATAATTGAATTCTTGTGAAGAATTTTATTAAAATTTTTAAATTGATTTTCTTCGTAAAATTTTATAAAATATTTCAAATAAATCAATTCTTGTGAAAATTTTATTACTTATAAAAAAATTGAATGTTTGCAAAAATCTTTTGTGGCATTTCATTAAAATTGTATAGATATTGAAAATCATTGATATTCGAAAAGTTTTTGAGAATAATTGAATCGTTTCAAATAATTTTATTACGATTTTTAGAATTTTTTTTATTTCAACTATTAGCGAATTTAAATGCAAATTTACCCGAAAAATATAGAAAAATGTATCTTTTAGTGTCATGAATCTAAGAAAAGTATCGAAATAGTAGCAAATTGTAAAAAAAAGTGGTAAATAGTATAGGTTTCAGTATATATGAGTGTTCAGCCTGAAAAATAGTAAAATTGAACATTGGTGAAATTATTGCCAATGTAGATTTCTGCGAAACTTGTCAATTGCAGATGGCAAGTTCCTCTTGACATTTAAAATGTGTTCGTACTTGTGTGTTTGAAAACCGGTTCAGTTTATGTATATGAATCAATTGAGGTAAGTACCTTTGAGGTAAGTTTCGAGTTCCGCTGCATTTTGAGCGGCATTCGCTGTTCGCACCATATGCAGAAGAGCTTGAGTCGAAGACATGTCTAGCATTGGCGGGAAGACTGGATTACCAAAGAGATTATCCTGTTTCTGCTCTTTGGACTCTTTGTTAGACAGAGGTGATGTCGTTGGTACTGTAGGAGCTTGTGGTGCACCAAGGGGAGCCATTAGGCCAACAAATGGAGTCGCAGCAGTCTTGAAGGCCGGAAACCTTGGATCCAGACCAGGTGGATAACCGTTTCTCGGGGTACTAAAGTAACTGGGAGAATATTTACATATTTTATTATTAAGTTTATCGAAAAGCGAAAAATTTACAAAGGAACAATTTTTTGTTTCGTGAGAAATTTCTCCAAGTTTTTTTAGTTTCTTTCTTTCTTGGTGCATTAAGAATTTTAACTCTTTTTGTTTATCAAAAGTGATTCTTTTTGTTCGAGAGATTTTTTGTAGAGAAAAAATAGAAACTCACTCGTTTGGATTGGCGTTATTGTACTTTGCGGCAAGGCTTCTCATAAAGTCACTATAGTTGCGTCCCATCATCTGCTCCATATTTTTGAGATGATGAGGTGGTGCTGGACCTTCGGATCCACCCAAGGACGTGGCATTGGGTGGCGTTCCAGGATGACTTGAAGAAGATGGAGTTACACTTCTCGATGACGTTGAATTATTGTCGGGTGTGAGACGCTCAGTTTTTACCTGAAACACGATTTTTAGGGGTTTCTTTAAATTTCCATATTTATTTCTTTGAATTTCTTCTCTAACTTATTTGAATTTAATAATTAATATCTAAATTCCTGCCTAATATTTTTAACTGAAACTACTTCTTTTTCTTCGTTTAAAACAACTTTAGGCGATGCTTCACTTCGTTTGTGAGAGAACTTTCATGCCATCTAGGCGGCGATTCAAAGAACTAAATGGCGCGAAATTCAAAACACGAAAACGTAAATAATACATTAATATTAATAATTAATAATATACAACGTAGAATAGAATAAACAGAACGTAGAGTAGAGTAAATATTTTCAGAATCTAGAAACATGAAACGATTCTATACTATATATAATAAGTATTAGACGCTTCTCATTATTCTCGGGGATGTTTTTCGTGGAATAAAAGTAAAGAATTTGATGAAGGCGGTCAACGCAGTATTTTTCGCTGCGGGACGTTGTGCGGTTTCACTTAGAAAGATTCTCAACTGAGCGTAGGAAATATCTCAGTGCATTAATCCCGGGAAACAGATTGCACCTGAGATATGTTAATGAAGGCAACGCGTGGCGTAAGAGTTGATTCCTCACGAGCTCAGCGTGACACTAAGAAGAACGAGAGCCGATTGGCGCAGAATAGAGTCTCCGGTGCCTGCAAAGATCTTGCGGTAAATCTCTTTCTCGCCTCCGGAATCCTAACATCGTTCTGTTAAGATAATCTTCCTCCAGCGCACACTCAAAGTTCAACTTCAATATAAACTCACTACCGTTCAATTATTCAAAAAAAAATATTCAACACATTTTTTTCATCATAATTTAAAGAAAAATTTGTTTCTAAAGAAATTTATTTTTTCTAGTAGTGTTGTGTCTACAGAATATATTTTTAGATTTTAAATTAAATATTTAATGTAAACAATATTGACAAAATATGTTAGAATTTTTTTTAAATTATGCATAAAGTACGAAAATGTGAATAACAAGATGAGATTTGCTTTCATGCGTTTGCGGATGACAAGTGGAAGTTAAGATGTTTGAAAGACGAATTCGAGCAGATCTTTAGACAGTTGTACCGAAGGTAAATGAGTTTTGTCAGGTGGCAAAGTTTATTCTTGAATGCTCTTCAAAACCCGCGCGTGTTCAGAAGTAGTTCGAAGCGAATATGAAATTAAGTTTCATAGATTATCTTTTTAAAACACTTGAAATCTGCATAAATGTAAGGACAACGTGGTTCGACGAACCATGTCCTCAATCAATACTCAAAAATCCTAGGTTCTTTTCTTTGCAACGAAATATAAAATAGGAAAATAAAAAAATCTAAAATGGCATTAAATAGAAAAAAATAAACTACATATATAAATAAACATAACTGTATAATAAACTATATAGAAATATTCTATAGTAATAGTATAATCTATATTATTACCTGAGGTGTATCTAGACCGTTTTGATTTTGTCGCCTTCTTCCTCGTGGAGGCCTTGGAGTTGCTGCCCCCGAAAGGTGGGCACCCTGGGGGCTTCCACCCCGGGCGTCGACCGCTGTATTCGCGGCCAGGATTGCCCCGTCGTTAGTTTCAGTATGTGTCGCTAAATCAGCTGCTTCTCCCCGACCTCCACGTGCCCCTGTTCCTACGTTCTCACCGGACACCTCGCCTATAAACAAAAATGCCATATTTCTACTTTAGACAAAAGTTTCCTTCAAATTAATAATAAAACTAATTAATCAAGTTTAGAGAATTAATTTTAAACCATGTAGGAATAACCATAAAGTAAGTAGGCATATTTATAAATTATAAACAAGTAATAACTACAATAATATAATTATTAAAAATTCCTTAATGCCAGAGTGTCACACAATTTTAATCTCCCTAATATTAACAATATAAATTCATATTAAAATCGTTAATGGTTCTCTTACTGTCACATTATTTATCATTCTCAACCAGAGAATAAAGAATATATTAAATTTGATGTGATTTATGCGGTTGTAAAATTTTCAAATTGTACCCTACAAAAATCATTTTATATTTTCCCCAACTCCAAAACTATTATAAAGAATTTATTCTCACAAGATTGCATAGTGTATAGGTTTGTTGGATATGCTTCTCGATTACATTTAACAGAAGAAGAGTTAAGTGATTCTTTAATTCTTTTGAGAAATCTTTTTACGACACTCATAAAAACGCATAAGATCTCAAGAGGAAAAGAGAATGGCAGTGTACAAATTTACGACTGCAACTGTAAGAGATGTGTGTGCAAAGTTTGGTCTAAATCTATATAATAGTTAGGAGAGATTTTATGTGCAAACTTTGATGACATCACCTTTTTAGATATCGAGTTTTTACGGTTCAATTCTTGAATCCCATTTGGAATAACTGATTTACGAATAAGTGGCTCTTAAAAGCCTATAAACAGAAGTTGGGTGTGAAATTATTTTGATAAGGATTGAAAATAAATTTGTTAAATGAGAAGCGTCTTTATGGATCTGTATTCGGTATTTTGTTTTTCCCATAAAAGAAATATTTTTTTGATTGAGTTGTGTTCTGTTAAATTTTCGCGGTAATAGCAATCGGCATAAATTTTGTACAATCTTTTCGCATGTAAAATAAAATTTTTGTTTCTCTTCATTGTTTGGCGGTAGTACACAGGTTCTAGCGTTCACACAAGTGTCATAGCTGATGATTTTATTTGCTTATAGAAAATGTTGATGTTTTAGGACAAAGACTTACGTGGTACGTCTGCAATTGTCAACTTCCTGGAATCGCGATTGGAAATGGCAGTAATTCTGCTCGCTTTAACTCGTGGCTTTATTTCCTCTGACAGGTACATAAAATTGGAAAACGGACGAGCTTCGGATAAGTATATATGTGCATAATACTTTTAAGAGAGAGAAAGAGAGAGAGAGGCGAGGCTTGATCCCTAGCCTTCGATTATTGACAACGCCCCTGCTACGTGAACACAAGTGCTTATTTAAATAACTCTTGGATCCATGGACGTGACCGTGTATTTGGCTTTTGTGCAGCGAAAAAAAGTGCATTTTTAAATTGGACTTCGTTTCTTCTTTCCAGTTCGACATTAAATTAAAATTAAATTTTTAATTTAATTTCGTTTGAGTTAATTTCACTTAATTATGTTGATTCGAAATTTTAAATTGAAACCAAAAGAAGGCGGTTAGACTGAAAGTAACAATTTCTCAAGCCAAACGGATTCTTCTGGTTGCAATTTTGCAGAAGAATTTAAAATTTAAAAAGGCTTGTTTAAACTGGACGTAACAATTTTTTGAAAACAAAACGGATTTTCCAAGTCTACTAAACCAGAACCGAAGAATTTTTCACAAGACCAAAAGAATTTAAAATCTGAAAAGGCTTGTTTAAACTGGACGTAACAATTTCTTCACAACAAACGGATTTTAGTTCAAAAACATATTTGCTAAAGGAACCAGGTTTCTCGAAAGAGTCAAATGAGCTTTAGTTTCAAAAAAGATTGAAGAGAAAGAGTTGAATATAATAATAGAATGCAAAAGTATTAAAAGAGACCCCAAAAAATCACTGCTAATTTATATAACTCAAAAGAATGGACAGACATCAACAAATTGTTCAACTAATGGGTTTCCATTTTGTAACGCGTGCTCAATTTTCAACTGTATATTTTGAGGGTCGTATTAAGCAGCCCGTTAATCAATGCCGCTCGTTAGCTCCCGATAATTCCGGGTAAATATCCGCCAACCCGTTCAACTTCTTTTCCTTACCTCAAACTTATTTCAGCCTCCCAACGAAACCACTCCGCCTCGCCACGCGCCAACTTGTTGCATCTTCTCACACACATCTCACAATTTTTTCTCCCATCAAATCCCTAATCATCAAAATTCTTCCAAACCAAGAGTATCTGTCCACACTTTGAATTTAGTGTTAATTTAATAATAAAACCGTTTTTATTATTAACAAAATTCCAAAAATGTGAATGAATTCCTCTGTTTCTAGAACGAAAATCCAGATCCATTTTTGGACTTTTGTCCAGAAATTCTCAATCTAGAAACAGAGGAATGTTATGCGAAAAATTAAAACAGTTACAAAATGAAAATCTCTGCACTAATCATCGATAACAAAAAGTGGAAGGTAAAGAGATAGGATCGTAAAATTAATAAGCTTCAATGGCAGTCTTGTATTTATATATGACTTTACTAACATAAATTGTATATTGCAAGTAGCAATAAATAGCGATATGGCTCAGATGAAAGATAACTACCGACGCAACGATAACTACATTTATTATTATTAGAGAGAAAAAAGTAATTCAGTTATTGTAGAACATCAAATAAGTGTACATGTATTTACGTACTTGAAATAAAAGAAATAAAGGAATAGAAGAATAATGGTGTCAATGGCTCATGCACCAAGTGTTTCAAGCATAAAATGAGATAACGTTAGCCAGAAAATCATCCGTGACCACACTGGATGCTAAGAGAATTACGAGAAAATGGCAAAGAAAATTTGGCGTGAAATTGAAATAGCAGAGTTGATATTCCTAAAGTCTGTTGAAGAAAATTAATGGTCAGTAACAATGTACAGTGACACTGGATGCCACTGGAATAAAAGTCGCGGTAATTTCACTTATATGCTAACTGCTGAAATGAGAGAATAATTTTAGATAATTTTCTCTATACACTCGGGTTTGAATTGACCTATTTTATCTTGCAGTCAAAAATTTTATCGCACTTTACTAGAATGATTCTAAAAAAACTATTAAATTATTAAAACTATTAAAAAAGTTATTAAAATTTCTAATTAATACTAATTAGTTTAATATTAATAACATAATTAGTTAATATTTTTAGAAAAATAGTATAATCCACAATGGAAAAACGGATTATAGGAGAAAAAGAAAATGAACCGATAGAATAACATTTCAATAATAATGATCAATACAGAGGTATGTATTGATAATAATTCCGCAGGTATATAACCTTGAAAGTTTATAGAGAATGGATAGAATCAGTTGCTTCATTGGTAGGGGAAGCATATTGAGAACACAATAGCGGTCACGTGACCTGCAAGCGTTTATTACTCGGTGTATGTACAGTTCACTGAGGAGATAGTAAAACGATTTGTAACGACCGCGCCTTTGCACTGGTCTTCTCTTGGCGAAGCGGAGGTCGTATCATATATACGTCTAGGTTGAGTTCGACATTGGCATTCTTTTACTTGTCTTATTACGTGATGGACTTAACCTCGGCATCTACGATGCGAAGTCACTTGCAGCTAATTAAATTTCATTGTTAGCAATCTCAACATGTTGCCAAGTTTTGCATTCAACAAGCCTTTTAAGAATTTCGAAAAAAAAAGATTTCTTACTGCTCTCAATTTTATACACTATGTAAAAAAAAGACAGTGAAATTCTAACCAACAATCGGATTCTAGAAAATTCGCAAATTTTTGGATTTGAGAGGAGAAGAATTTGAAGCGTTGGAATTTTATTCCTCTCTATATTCTTCTTTTAGTCTTGAAAATTCGATAGAATTTTAATAGAATGATTCTAAATTGCCATAATTTTTAGTAACTTCGCTTTTCTTTTTTAGTTTTTCTATTTTGATCCACTTCGTTTGTGAGAGAACTTTCATGCCATCTAGGCGGGAATTTAACGAACTTTTGGCGCGAAATTCAAATACAGAGAACCCAAAATTTTTTGAGTATCTAATAATTTTTAGAGTGAATCAGAATATTCGTCAGGGTCAAGGAAAAAGGCAAAATCAGTCAGGAAAAAGTCTGGAAATCAAGGAAAAACAAAATTAATTTTTTTGTGGCAATCCTGTAATATTAATAATATATTAATACTAATAAGACACAATTAATTATTATCTACATAAGAATAATAAAGATATATTACAAGAATAATTATTAATAACTTTAATTAATAATAAAAGTAAGGAAAATAGTTTTTTCTTTTTTTTCTTGTTATTTTGGTGCCAACATTGACAATTAGCACGAGAATAGAAAAAATCCGAGCATTGCAATCAGTTTGGTAATCGGTATGAGACAAGTGTGCAATTTTTGCACGCAAGAAATAACAAAAAGTCGACATTTAATCGTCCTGTTACTTTAAATTTGTTCTGTACGTCGGTTGTTACAACCATTCTTGATTGTAATCTTTGAGATTCTGTCTCGTGTTACATGAAGAAAAACGGTAACCGCCCGTCAGTAGAAAATACTGTAAACATGGCAAGGCGTACAAGTAACTTTTGTAATCATTGTCGTAGCATGCTCACCGACAATGTAAAATTTTATGTATGTAAAAGCGTAACTTATCACGAAATTTAACTTTAAATTTTTATGATTTTTAATATATTTTATCGTTCCAAATTTTACTCATAAATATAGTAATTTCTACTGATATATTATTCGAATTTACTAATTTTAATTAAAAAGTATTTTTTTTTATTTTAATTTTAATTAGTAAACAACAAAAGAAGTACCTAAAAGAAGAAAAGAACTAAAAAAGGAAAACAAAAAAAAAAGAAAAAAGAAGTATAAGAAGAAAAGAACTAAAAAAAGAAGTAAAAAATAAAAAGAAGTAAAAGAAGAAAAGAACAAAAATAAGTAAAAGAAGGAAAGAAGAAAAATAAGTAAAATAAGTAAAAAAGTAAGAGAAGAAAAGAA